TTTTAATTATTCAGATACATCTCAAGGGACGCCTTTGGGATGTAGTTAATTAAATAACTTGGGAATCTTTTATTCAGGTGGGTAGGCTGTAAGATAAAAGAAATATTGATTGTAAGTCAGCAGGTAGACTGTGTGTCAAACATAACATAACTATCTAGGCAGGTAGGCTGTAAGATAGTGGAATCAACCATAAGTCAGTGGGTAGGCTGTGTGTTGAACATAAAATAACCTATTAAATAGGAAACTCAGATTGCATGTTCACAGTATCCTTAATTTGACACGTTTCAATTTTATCAATATTGAAAGGAATCTCTTAAAACTCTTAAAAAACAAGTGCCAGCAATAACAAAAATATGTTGTTAGATTTCTTGGGGGTTGAGGCTTACCTTTTATTAAGGTTGAATTTTTTAGGTTATGCAATATGTAAAAAAATGATATACAATTTAAAATAAACAAATCTAGAAAATATTCTTTGGACATAAAATATGTATAAGATTAGGATTTATAGATTATACATTTATAAAATATATCATTTACACATAAAAATAAACACATAATATTCATTAAAAAAAAATTATTAATCATCATCAATTGACCATCTTTCATATTCTTTTGATTCATCATTACCTTTTTCATTATCAACTATAATAATAATCTATTAGTTGATTAATTAATTAAAAAGAAAAATTTGGAAAATTAAAATTTACCATAAGGATGTAATCCTTTTTTAAAATTTCTTATAATCATTATTGAACATATTAAAGTCACCTTTAATAGAATCAATAAAAGCTTAAATTAATTGGCTTAGATATTTAAAAAAATTAATTAAAAATTTTTATAATAAAAATTTTTACCAGTGCCGCAATAATACCACAACTCACTATTGATTATTGATAGAATTAATATTTAATCATAAATTATTTCAAATTAATAAAATAACTTACCAAAACCAATAAAAAAATACCAACTACTACTAACAGTTCCAATAGAATATTTTAAAATAAGTATAAGATCCAAAACAGTAATCAACCAACCAAGATTAACAATTATCATTCCTGATTTACATTCTTTATAAACCTTTAATATAAAAATATCATTAGCTATTGAGCTTAAAACTATTTAAATATTTTCTCTGTTTAATACTTACTGAATAATAAGCTAATAATTGATTAAAGAAAATAAGAATAGTGACTCCCATATGTATCAATAATAAACTTCTTGGCAAATACCTATAACGTGTAATGTTTCCATTACTATTGCTACTAAGATTAAAACCATAAACAACACAAACTTCTATTGCTGATCCTAATAAAAAGAATAGATCAAGTTTTAATAACATTAAATAAATTAAATATGTCTTGTATATTGCTAATTAATTGTTAATTATACAAAGACGTTGAGGCAGGAAGAGATGTGTATATGAGAGATAGGTATGGGAAAAAATATTATTAGTAATTAATTAATGATTGATTTCCATTAAAATAAATAAATGGATAAATGATGTACCTTGAATTTGTATATCAGCACCGATTCTTTTGTAAATATTCCAACCAAATTCTTGGTACAATTTAAAAGATAAATAAGCCATAAGAGAGGCAAACGCCAACTCACTACCAAGCAATGGTAAATCATAATTTCTATTCTTGGAACTTAATTCAAATATTCCTAATATTCCTGGACACGCTACCTTCAAATCTTCATACCATTTCCGAACTTCGAGGATTTGTGACTATAAATATATATAATTAATTATTTTGTTGACAAAATATAATCAATAGAATAAATAAAAATTCCAGATTAAATTACTACTTACAATGCCAAATAAAGAACAAAGAAAATTAATTGTTGTGATCGTGATAATTTGAATGGTATTTTGATTGTATAACTTTTATTGTTATCATCATCATCATCATCATCACCATCATCATCATCACCATCATCATCATTATTATTTTGTTGAGACAAGAGAATAAATGTCAATTTTCTTTAATTATTAAATATCAGAGATTTAAAAAAAAAATTTTACCGCAGTGTAACACAGACACATTTGAAATAATTGGAATACCATAAAAACTACATTCTCTTCTTGAATATTGTTTATTCTGATTGCTGATGGCAACAAAGTACAAACTTCAGGTGGTAATCCGGTATTATTGACCATGTATTCTACTACTTTATCACCAGCATTAGAATTACGAAAAAATACTCTAATTTCCAAAGCAATTATGACAATTGCTTGTATTGTTGATGTCAGTATAAATAATTTAGTCCATTTCGATTCAGAAATACGAGATTTCTATGAAAATAATTGAGAGTTAATTACACGGAAAACTATATATGCATCATTATGAATATTACTACCATCTTTAAAATTCGCCGCTTAATCCCTAAATCGACCATTTTTCTTCTATTAACAAATAAATAAATTTAATTGTTTTCAAAAAATGGATTGGAAAACTTTTAAATGAATTTTTATTGTGGCTATGTTCTTATTAACATTATCTTGTTATTTTTTTCTTCTTTAATTCAAAGCCACGAAATCTTTTTCACTGCCCGCAATATTATAAACTTGATGATCATCAATCATCTGTATAAAATAAATCATGACAAAAAAAACTTTTTCGTTAAAAAACAACGTCAAATTTTCAACAAACATCAGTCTTCTTAAAAAGGAATGATAATCCTTAACAGGAATTTAAAAAAAATGTGGAGAAACGTCATACATGATTGTTTTCTGAAAGAGAATTAGCAGATATTAAACAAACTTCTTACGGCTCGTAAGTTTGGAAAAAAGAAATTGTTTTCTAGAAAAATATTTAGGGTTAATTATCAGCTAACTATTATTACATAACAAACATTAGTATTATTAGGTAATATTTTAGAAATAGAAACCTTTTGGAGTGTTTGTGTAAAGATATTCCATTATTTGAGAAATATATTTTTCAATTAATACATATTATAATGATTATAGGTTTAGCATTATACATAAATGCTTACATATATTATATTTAAACATGAAATCCATAACCATAATTATTAATTATTAATTATTTAATTATTTATTCAGTTCATTACTTCCACCTTCATAAATGTACCCATTGGTTGGATTAAGTTTACTTCGTTTATTATCACAAATCATATAGCAGAGTTCCATAGAGCATTAGAGAATATTGAATTCGAGCAACTTTTAGAGAATGATTATATTAATCATCCAGTTCATTTGGAATGATATCTCATGGAATGAAGTTATAAAGTTTGGAATTCCAGAGATGCTAGAATATATGTTTTTTTTTACTGATATTTTAATGGAAACCATTAGGTTAGCAATATATACATATAAATATAATAATTTTATCATATGACTTTATTATCATTATTGTAGAAGTGAAATTGCTAGTTCAGTGAAAAGGCCTATGATAATTTACCATTGTCAGATGCAGCAATGTTATTATTTTATAATAATAATAATCAACATGAAGTTTCAAATTTTACAACAAAGGTAACTATATATGTATATATGTTTGAAGGACATTAATTTATTTTTTTGGGAGGCTGATTTTTGTTATTATTAATAAATTAATATTATTATCGTCAAAGTTAATAATTATAAGGTTGTATCCTTTATTATTTGAAAATATACTCTTCGTAAGAGGGGTCGAGTCGCATCCTTGAACATCCCTGCATTTATTCTCAAGAATATATAGATGATATCCTTTATTCTTTAGACAAATAATAAAATATACAACCCTAAAATCCATCCGCTCAGAAAATACTACGCCATAATAAAACTCCTGTGAAATCTGATTTTACCAAAGTTTTTAACGGCATCTTTTAAGCTATTATTATGAATCTTCAATCCATAATAGATCCTTCTTCGCAAATCTTTCACTAGAATATATTGAAAAATAACACCTCTTTTAATTTTGGGGGAAAAGGAGTCAAATCAACTCATCTCTAGCATAAAAGTTAATACAGTGATAAATACATAAGAACTGTTCTGATTGACAGGACAGAAAATGTCAAAAAGGAAAAATACGCAATTACAATTTATGCGGATCTGGAAATGATATTAATATTAATATAATATTAGAAATATTCTATATTTTTTGCGGTAAGCCAACAACTTTGCATGAATCTTTATAAATCAAATAAAATTTCCACCAAATAAAAGTCATAATGGCATTTTCTGCCAAAGGACGATGTTTTCTTTGCACACAGTAAAAATTAAATTATTATTGATCAAATATGCCTATTTGTATGTATATTATATTTTAGGTGAAAGTGATAAGATTGCAAACCAATAACAACGTTATTATTGTCATTAACACCGGAAGTATATAAATGATTCTATTTATTATTCATTGTCATATTCTTGTTATTATTATCTTTGAATACTACCGTTATAATAATAATTATTATTATAATTAGTTTCTGAGATCATTATAATAATATTAGCATTATTATTATTGTTAAAATTAATATTTAAAATAATTCGTCTATTTGATGGTCATCAATAGCTATATTGGTGACAGAACAATGTGTGCACGGTTCACTCTTCGATTTTGTTTTTCTTTTAAAAGTCACAATTGGAGTTGAATTCTATTTTCTATATACTTATATATGTAACGACGAATTAAAATAAATGAATAAGTTATGTGGAAATATATTATCGAATATTTCTTGAACGAATATGTTTAACAAAGTTTTTTTATAAGCGACATTGTTATTACAAAAATATGGGAAACGAGATCTCCACATTTCCTAATCAGTAGATAACAAAACCCCCCATTTTTTTGCATTTAGCAAGTTTGGGAAAAAATAATCCGTAAAAGTTGCACAAACATTCGTTCATTATCAAAGATTCCATATTTAGTGTTACTTTGAAATTTTTTCAATATATTTTATACAAAGAAATTCTTTATATGCAAAATAAAATATTTATTTATACTTCACAGTTACTTAAATAATATAATTATACACAATAGTTAAAAAAAGTAAAAATGGATATTACAGAACCATTTACCAATAATCACGCAAACCAACAAACAAATGTAAATAATTATGTAAAAGCAGATGAAAATGCTGTTGAAAATCGTGAAAATGATGACGACGATGATGGTACAAGTTCTTCTACTAGTAGTAATTGTAGATCTGAATCATCTGATTCATCAATTACAAGAGTTGAACGAAATAATCTGCTCCTTAGTATTACTTCTACTTCTAACAATAACAATAACAATAGTAATAATAATACCTCATTATTCCAAAATACTATTACAACTAGAGAAGGCTTCACAGACTCGAGCTCTATTGACAGTACGAGCAATAATACTACAACATTATTAACAACACCTAAAAAACCTCGAGTAAAAGTTTCAGCAAATAATATTATATCAGATTTTAGTAGTTTAGGAGTGTACTCTCAAAATCAACAACAATCACACCAATATAATTCAAAAAATTTTTCAAGTATGAGATCAGATTTGTCCTGGGGAAGTGATTCTGGTATTACAAGGGCGAATAATAAAATTAAAAGTAAAATATTAAACAAAAAATCGATTGTTAAAGATGATAAATGTGATGATAATGATCAAGATGAAGAATTAAATTATTATTATAAAAATCATCCTAAATTAAATAACAATGTGAATGAATGGGCTGATAAAAATGATTACTACATGCCTGAAAGTCATTCTGAAATTACTACAAATACGAGAGATTCTTCATCATCTATTTCTACTTCTACTTCACCAAGAGTTAGAGCAAGATCCATTGTTAATTATTCTTCTAATAATAATCCTAGAATTAAAATCAAACCATCACAAATTGTTAATGCTAAAACTAACGCTAATACAACGACTAAAACCAAATCATCATCATCGATGTTATCAACATCATCATTGTCACCACCAACGCTGCCATCATCATCCCAAACATGGTCTGATATTATATATCGTCCACATGATGCAAGAACTGAAATGACAAATTATAGTGATCCAGGACCTCAAAAAAATTTTTTAATGATGAGTAATATTGACGATTACGATGACAATAAAGAAGGAAATAATTACAATAATCATGGAAAATTACAAAAACTAAAAGGGCAAGCTTATTACAATGATAATAAACCTAAAAGAAAAGTTGCAGCATCTGCAGTCTTAAATAATATTGATAATTATGATGATGTTGATTATTATGATGATGTTGATGGTGATGTTAACGAAGAAAGAAATCAAGGAGAAAGTGAAAATAAAGAGCCATTCGAAATTGAAGATTTACTGAAATTATCATTGAACCCAAAAGTTCAAAGAAAGGTAATAATTTTTTTTTGTATAGGTGAAAATAATAATGATATTTGTATATTTATATTTATAAATAAAGTTTTTATTTTTGATTAGTTTCTTGATCTTCAAATTTCCAACAAATCACTTCTTAATATTAATACGACATTGGAATCAACAATTAAAGAACAAAACAATAAACTTGCAACAATTCCATCATTTGAATCAATTATGGCGCAACAACAAAAACAATTAGAACATCTTACCAAAGTTGAAGAATTAATGCTGAAATTGACAACAAAGATGTCTGAGCAAGACAATGAAATAAAGGCTTTAAAAAACCAATTACTTGAAAAGAATGGGTATGTTAACAATAGAAATTTTAATTAGTAAATATTTTTAAAAACAAATTTTTTCCAAAAAAAAGATATTGATTTTTTCTTTTGGATGTTTATATAGAGAAGAGAGTCGTAGTGCTGTAGATCATCAGCCATTACAAGTTGGAAGTTACAATCTCAACATAATTTACTTTGTCATGTTTAGTTATTTGGCACAATTATCTATTTCATCCCTTTTAAAATATATTTTGTAACATATGTACATACATATTATTCATATACATAACTATTATTATCATTATGGCTCCAAAGGTTCCTCGTATTATCTATTTAATTGAGGAATGAAATTCCTTCCTTTTTTTTAATTTTAAAATCACACTTTTCTATATATACACATATCCGTTCATTCCTAATTCATTCTTTCCTTTGAATTTTGAAATCATCAACTTTACGACTAATTTTTTTTTAAAAAATTATACTCAAAAAATAATAATTTTTGTAAATATTATATATACAATGATTTCAAGAAAAATCCCTTACTCGTCAATTCTTTCTTCTCTCTCAAACAATTTACATCTTCTCATATAATTACAATTATTATGAGAAGAAAAAAACCATTTTTAAAACATTTTTAATCTTTTTTCTAATGGTTAATAATTGTTATAAGTGGATTATTCAATTAGTATTTATTATATAAATTTTTTTTATATATTTTACTAATATCTAATGTAGAAACAATTATGTTATTTATATATATGTTTTTTAATTATTATTTTAATGTTTCTTTAAGCTATAATTTAATTATGAAAAAAATTTTATTATAATAAAAATAAAATAATTTTCCTATCATTTACCGGTTTTATACATCGTAGATTGTAGATTTATTATTATATTTTTAGCATTCCATCCAAACCCATGAAGAGGACGAAGAGATTAATGAATTGTTATCACTATTACGATTACCATTACCATTACCGTTTTCCTTATTTCTTCCTCCTTTTCCAGATATCTTTAATTTCCTAGTTTTTTCAATATGTTGAACAACTCTAACGATAATTGCAACAACTTTATCAACAGTATTACAAATTCCTAATTTTATAGTCCACGGGAAAGCTTCAAAATGTGGTGGCGTTTTCGAAACCAATTTTATCAATAACAAATCCTTACTTTTCTCGATCATGACTTTTTTATTATAATTTAAAAGTTTTGAATGTTTTGATAGATTTATCAATAATTGGTTTGGTATAAATAACGGGATCATGTTGTAGAAAAGTTTCGAGGTTAGACGTAATTTAAAATATAAATCCTTTATTGGTACGTTTTTCAGAATTTCTTCTTGTAGTTCTAATGGTAAATTTATTAAAGACATTTTTTGAAATGTGTGATGATGTCTATTTGTAATACAATGATATTTATAATAAAAAAAAAATTGACAGATGACTAATTTCATGCACTATAAAAAAAATTTTTTACGTGTCTGTCCCAGAAAATATTTTTGATTAGTCATCTGTCATCTACCAGAAAAGATCTATATTAATAATAATAATAAATAATAATGACACCCGGATAATCGGTGATTTACTATTACTATTACTCTAATACTAATACTAATATCCGCTGAAATTCGAACTAATTCGAATCACTTAATTTTTTGTTAAAATGATTTGATTTGACATGGTTCGAATATAATTCAAATATATATGAATTCCGCATGATTTTAAAGAGTCGCCTTTGGAAATACCTAGTGCAAATAATTGCATTTGGTTTTCCATCCACACTGTGCAATGGTTACATACTTCACTTATTGTTCTTCTTTGAATACATTGCACTGTGCCTGTTGAAGAAGTAATTGAAGTGGTCACTCATCATTATTATGAATTGTGCAACTGTAAAGTAATACAAAATTTACATGTGTATTAATAAAAAAAAAAAGTTCTCACGTAGATAATATACATATATTTTTTTTTATATATTCTGTACCACCGATTAATTGAAAAAAAAAAAAAAGTTTCAACACCCAATTAATCGGATATCATTTGGCGGATATAACATTCATTCCCTTTTGTATTTGCTAAACAATTTCTAAAAATTAGGAGGGTTGATAATGTCAGAAATAAAATTTTGTCCTTTTGATGGTCATAGATTGATAAAAGAAGAATCAAAATGTAACTATTGTGGTTTTGATAGGTAATAATTATATATAATTAAATCATATAATTCATATAATTAAAGAAGAAATTTATAAATAAATATTTAGGATGTTAATTTCATTAATATTTAGAAGAAGTTGGTTTTTTTATTAGGCAAATAACTATTTGAAAAGAAATAATTATTTAAAATAATAATAATAATCAACAGGTTCTCTTTTCAAATAAATGTTGATTATCTATCTTTCATTATATGTATATATATACATAGATTTTCTTGGATATTGTTGTTATTATTATTGCTTCGTTTATTTAATATATAATTAACTTTTAATATTGTAATAATAATATTCATATATACATCTAATGATATTGGTATTATTATATTGATTTACGAATTTTCTTATTTTTATCCCTTAATATAAAGAGTTCATCGATAACAGCATCATTATCACAGTCAAAAAATACTAGTCTTAATAATAGTAATAATAACAAACGTCCTTGGAGAAAACTATTATGGGTAAAACAACAATATCCTGATAATTATTACGATGAAACTTTTTTGGAAGAATTAGAAAAAAATGGTGAGTCAAAGAATTTTTTTTTTATTATTAACATGCTTATCATTAAAATAACTATTTATATCTAATCTTTTAATCTCTTATCTTCAATCTCCAATCTTTAATCTACCATTCTCTTTTGATCTCTTTAAATCATTCCCAACCATGCCTTTAATTCCTCTCATGCAATCTTAGTTAATGTGAGAACGTATGATTATTGGACAGTGGTAATGGAATCATCAGCAATTTCACAACATATCAGTAGCATAGTTATCTTTATAGCTGTATTTAAATATCTTGATTTAAAGATGTTATCATCACAAAGTTTGATTATTATTGGAAGCGTTTTCACGTTTATTGGTTACATATTCTGGGATAAAAGTATTTCAAAAACTGATCCTTCTTATGAATACAAGCGTAAATAAAAAATTTTTTGATTTTTTTTTCGAAAGGAATTCTTTTGATTTCACCAAGAGTAAAGAAAACTAATTTCTTCCTTTCCTTTTTTTTTTCTTTAGGATGGAAGACAGCAAAAGGAGCTATATTATTTTTTGCAACATTGCTAGGATTATCTCCAATTTTAAAAACTTTAACAATAGATACAAGTGAAGACACGATTTGGGCATTGACTGTTATATTGTTTCTTGCCAATATGATGTTTCACGATTATGGATCTGAAAATAGAACTAATATCAAGTATGTTATTAGAAATCCTTTATAATAAAGAAAAGAAAAATGTTTATGATTCATGTTGTTGACTCATCATAATTTGATTAATTATGTAGATTTCCAGGATCACTTTCAACAAATGCAGCAATATTTGCGTCGGTTCTATTAGCGTCTAGATTAACATTAAATTCTCATGTATTTGGATTAATGTTATTTGCAGTCGAGTGGTTTGCTTTGTTTCCAATTTTTAGAAGATATATAAAGGTAAAAAAAATTCTTTCTCTCAAAAATTATTATTGTTTAAAATAAAATAAATTACTAAATTACCCTCATTCTCTCCTTCCATTAATTTATCCATCAGAGTCTTTCAGCAAAATTCAATATAACATTAACATTCTTATTATTTATTCTTGCAACAACATTATTCCTACATATATCAAAAGCAGTCGTGATTATTTATATTTTAGGTATAATCTTTATAACTTTTATTTGTCCTTTTTGGTTGATATGGATACAAAAATATAAAAAGTAAGAACTATTTATTACAGGTTTTGTTTTACTATTTATTTATTGACTAATTAATTGATTGATCAATTTTTTTCTATTATTCTTTCGATCTTCCAATCTATCTTCCTTCGATACTGCAATCTATAATATAATATTTTTATATATTCAGTGAAATTCATGGTCCATGGGATGAAGCAAGGCCAAGACTTCAACGTTCTAATTCTGCATAAATAATTTATCTCATATAATTATCTTAATTAATTAATAAATTGGAGTTTTTTTACTATTAACTTATTATATTGGAAACATTCATTGTATTATAATTATAATTATAGTAATTAATGATGATAATAATAATAATTATAATAATTAATGATAATAATAATAATAATAATAATAATAATAATAATAATAATAATAATAATAATAATAAAGTTTTTTTGAATTAACAAAATTCTTATTCCTCATTTTCTATGATTAATTGCACAGAAAAAAATTTTTAATAAACAAATTTATTTCCACTAGAGATCACACCTCACTATTTATTAATGTATTAAAAGCTTATTTAACTAATAAATAATTTCGAAATATGGATTAATATTAAGGTTTCTATTCGAATAAGGTTTATTCGGATTATTTATTTTGTTCGTTATAAATTGAATATTTGAATTAAATTGAACGTTTTATTTGAATAAAACGAATAAAACAATAAATTTTATCGGATGATTAATTCGAATTAATATTAAGATTGAGTATTAGTATTAGCATTAGTATGAATAGAAACTCTAATATGGATATTACTACTATCCTGTTCGGCCGATTTAAATTGACATAAGACTTAATGATCCAGATTGCTGAATTAACTCATCTAGTGGACGACTTGTATAAACTGATTCTGGATGATGTTTACAATCCTTTTGTATGACAAATATTTTCTGAATTGACAATTCTTGCCGTTTAGCTTCTGTAATTCAATAACTTTTTTTTTTTTTTCATGATAATCATTAATTTCTTTACAGCTTGTCTATTTCCTGAATCATGATCCCAACATCTTTTCATCAATTCGACATAAGATTCGGGAGTATCATCTGTGATTTGAGGTCTAAAACATCTGATATTAGCCAATGATTATATGGTTATCATAGAATGGTTTCTTTCCTGTAGTAAACTTTCACATTTTCATACCAAAACTGTAAATGTCTGATTCTTTAGTATGTAGTTTTTTTAATAATACTTCAGGTGCCAGGTATGGAATGACTCCAAAGCTTTTAGTTGGCTTATCTTGTTTATTCATCATTTGTTGACTAAGGTTGTGGGCGAAACTCCTCCAGAAATCAATCGACAGAGTTTCGATAGGTTACACATTAATTGTTCATTAGAGTTTTGACAGAGTTTTGACAAGGTATATATACTAATTGTTCATTAGATTTTCGACAGAGTTTCAACAGTCACTAAGAGGTTTCAGCAAGCAACTTTAGGTGGATGATAGCAAGTATATGTTTTGCACATTTCTTTGATCAATGCAATAGCTTATTTATTAAATTTGAAATAGCAGTTTGTTTCTTTTTCATGCACAACATATATAAAGAATGAATTATCTTTCCATTCATCTGGAAAATTCATGTGCCAAAAGATCTGCAACATAAGTGAAAAATTAACTTTTTTATTCATCATCAAGGCAGTAGCCAGTCTTGATTGAAGGATAACTTGCTTTGATTATTGCCTAATTATTTTTTTGATGTGAAAACACTCACAATTATTTATTGCTTTTTTTGGTGAAGCTAATAATAAAGGGAAAATACCAAAAAACGAAACAAAATATCAACGTGAAGTGGGTTTTGACTTCCCCAGATCCAACACCACTTGCCTTCTTCTGGTTGATACATCTGACACATTGAGCATGTGCAACTGAGAAATATAGGAAATATTTAGCACTTGCTATAAGCCCACAGTCAAGATAATCAAAACTTTGTGTCATTAAAACTGGTGTATGTACTTCAAGTATGTGGACATCAATTTTTGAAATGGTGATTTTAATGTCAGCTCTATCTATTAAAATAGGAAGAATCCATTCAGAAACACAAGTAAAAAAAAGAAAAATCGGTAATACTCCCGATTTTTGTCAAATTGATCAATCATTAACAATAAATTAGGGATTTTTACAATTTTTAAAATTGATGAAAATCGGGTTTTTCTGAATTGCCACTATTTTTAATATTAATAAGCTAATTAGTTAAAATTCGGGATTACCGATTGTCAATCGATTATTAACATTGCTAAAAATCGGGGTTTTCTAGATTGTCACTTTTTATTAGTTAAAATTCGGGATTCCCGATTGTCAACTGATTGGAGTTAATTCTTTTAGTTGTTTGTTTTCTTCTTCTAGTTGCTTAATTCGATCTAATAGTTCCTGTTTCCGTCTTTTATGCCAATTTTCAGCCACTTCTAAGGCTTCCAAGCGTGTATCTACTTCCTCTTCTAACTGTCTTTCCTTTTCTTGTAAGCCATTTATTTGCTGTTTGTAAAAAAGTGCCATTCCTCTGTTTTGATGAGGTAAAAGAGGAAGTTCTTTTTCATTTTCCTCTTCTTTGCAATCACAAGTATATCTAGTCTTTAACCT